CTTTATCTGTATGAGTTAGATTTGTGTTACATTACAAAACCTAAAGACAGACTGGAAAATATGATATGGTAAATATGCCTTCAATATGAAGAATTTACCCTCAGGGGAGAAACTTTAAAAGTGGTGGTAGTTGGATGGGAAGAACAGAGAAATCATAAAGGAAGAGATTGGAAAGAAGCAAGGCCAGAGAAAAAGGAAGACTCTATGAACTTTGGGAAACTGGGGGAGAAGACAGGAGAGAAAGAAGAACTAAAAACAAGAACAGAATGAAACAATAGTCACAACAACAAAACTACTAGAAACATTGCTCACACTCATAAAATCAAGAACAAATAATTAAGAAAAAAGCCAATAAAAAGAAGAAAATGTCCACTTCCAAGGTGTGTCACTGGTAGACACAGAGTAGGCAGATCCTTGCTGATTAATCCCAGCAACCCTGCACTCAGTGCCCCTGAAGATCAGGCTGGTTTCTGCCTGTGATGCTGGAACCTGTCTTGTTCAGCCTGCAATACCGTGTATACCTCCTGCTGGCTTAAATTCAGGTCTGTGACTTGCTGCTGACTTGAACTCAATGCCACATCACCCTCACACTGGGAACCACTAGATGGAACCAACTCATCCCTGCTCTGAGTTCTGAGCACAATTGTCCCCTGTCCAAGATGATGACCAGCCATTCACCCTCTATAGCCTGGGAGACATCTGAAACCAAATAACTCACCAGCCACCAGTCTGCTGTGATCACTGATCTGTTCCCCTGGTGTGTTTATCCATGGAGGCCTCTGGGGTCACCAGGAGTCACCATGCATCTGCAGGTTTGAGCCACCCCTCCCATGCAGCGAGTCAGGGCTCAGGGAGAAAATGCCACTTGCCACCACCTTCTTTTGAGTTGAAGTCTCTCTCTTCCAGTGGACTTCAGTTCTTGTTTTAGATTATTCCTGGGTCCTGGAGACCCACTTCCGTCCTTCTTCTCTTCCTCATGTTGCTATATTCCAGCATCTGGACACTAGATCTCTGAAAGGCTGTTTCTCTGCTGCTCACCACTTCACTACTGTCCCCTGACCTTTTGACTTGATTTCATTAAGTTGCCCATGCTGGGCTTGGATTTATAATCTTCCTGTCCCCGCCCCCATATAGGTACTGTAGGTGTGTGCCACTCTGTCCAGTTTCTCCTCCATCTCTGATCAGTGGCTCCTAAGGACAATGATATGCCCGGTACCCCTGGGAAACCTGAGGGGCAGGGAGATTTGCAGATGGGGCAGGTCCCCCACCTGCTTCCAAGTCCTGTCACTTGTGTCCTCTTAATTCCAAACATATTTTCTGCAGAGAGAGGGGAGTGACTTCAGAGTCACTGAAAGAACTTGTGGGTTCTGCTATGTAAAGGAGGCATGAACCAGGAGGGCGCCTAGCTGTCCTCTAGCCTTGAGGTGCACATCTGCAAGCCCCTTGTAGGTGGCCAGTGGCTGGCCGTGCCAACACTCTTCTTCAGACCTGAATTTAAAGGAAGGTTTTGGATATGGGAAGGGGAAGCTGCTGTTGGGATATAACCTGGAGAGCAGTAAGTGTCTTTCCCACCAAGGGCAAGTGATACCATGCGCAGGGACTTGTGGATGCCATGGAACAGACTTGCTGCCGCCACCTGAGTCTCATCAACTCAGTGTGAGGCAGAAAAAGCCATTATTTTCTTGTGCCATAAGGTCTCTGGAAGAAGTAGGAGAGTTTGCTGATGTTTCTAAGGGATCTTGCTTCATTCATGAGCTGGAAGCAGGACTGCCCATGCTGGTTTGGACTGGATAATCACATAGGAAATCTTCTGGGCCCTAAATGAGCCTCACCACCAGCTCCCAGCAGCCTCTCCAACAGGTGGTGTTGTGTCCCAGTGGATATGTGATAGCTTTCCAGTGTCTTTCCTGGTAGGGGGGGGGAGGGCCTTCTGAATGTGTGCTTTGATGCCTCCATGTGGTTCTAGGAGCCCATGCATCCCATAAGATCAAAGGATCATAGTGGCCTGGGCTTTAATTTCCCATGTCTTGGCCCCTGTTGTCCTATTCCCTTTTCTTTATCCAGTAGGGAGGCCAAGTTCCTTTTCTGCCCCAGGAAAGTGAGTGAATGTCTGTCTGTCTGTCTGTCTGTCTGTCTGTCTGTGTCTGTCTCCAGCTGTCTGCACTGCTATCCTCAGGGTTCTGCAGTAGAGTCGAGGAGCTTTATGGAATTTCCTTTGCCCCCACAGTACTTACTCAGCCATTCATCACCTGGCCTTGAACATGTCCAGGAGCCAGCAGGAGCTTGTAAAAATATTTTCTGTTCTTGCAGATGATGTTCACTGTACCTAATGTACATTTGTCTTATGACTCAGTCCCCAGCCCTGTTCCCCGCTGGGGTTGTCACTGGAAACACTCATCAAAGTGTCTAGAGTCTGCAGAGCAGCTGTAAGCAACTGGTACCCAGGACTGGGGCCAGCAGGAGGGCGAGATGGGCCATGCGTCAGTTCCCAGACTGCCCTGAGATCCTGGCAGGCTCCAGTCCCCCAGCCCAGCTTCCTCACCTGTAAATTGAAAGTTGGGCCAGGTGATTGCGTTTTCAGTCTGGTTTCTATGGAGCCCACAAGTCAATCATACCACTTAGGGCCAGGACCAGAGATGCAGGGACCAATGTGTGAGAGCTGCTGGGTTGGAATCTCTGGGGACTCACTGAACAGTGACCACGGGATTCTGCAGCCTTCAGTATCTCCTCCTGCAGTTGAGGGTGGAGACAGAAGCAAGAGCTGTCAGGAAGGAGGTTGGTTCAGCGTTGGCAAGTGAAGCAGCCCAGATCCATTGGGAAGACTGTGGAGGGAGACACTTTGCAAAACTGAACGTTTCCAACCTAAAGCAGCTTCCTTCAGCTATAAATACACCTGGGAGCTTCTCGTTCTGTTCCATTCTGACACACAATTATGTGCACATGTTCCTTCCCAGGCGCCCTTCCTGCTCACACCATCAGTCAGTCGCCTCTAGATTGCCAGGCTGAATTCTCAGCCCTGAGCCTCGTCCTCTCCCCAGGTTACGGGAGCTGTCATGACAGACCGTGGCTGCCACCCAGCACGGCAAAGGTGGCCATAGGAGGCTCTGGGTGTGTTGAGGAAGAGGCAGCCACTGACACAGTGGGGCCCGTGTGAAATGGGACAGGGCAGTAGTGTCCCAGACAGCAATCAGACACAGGTCTGGGGAGGCTCGGATAGTGGGTCCCAGGGGAATGGCAAGGCCAGCCAAGGTGCCGGGCTGACATCTGGAGACAACGGGGTCGCACTTCAGGTCTGCTCGGTCACGGGGCTCTCGTCTGTACACTGTAGTTCAGAGAGGAGTTGCTCAGGGGTGGGGAGATAAAGGCCCAGCTGAGGAAGCTGGTTCATGGTTTGGATCCAGCTTTCTGCTGTAACTTTTCACAACTGGCTCTGCTCTTTTGGCCCTGTCCCCATCTTCTAAATAAAGGGGTGAGGCTAGGTGGTCCCAGCTTCCTCGCCCCCATCCAGCCCATGACTCAGCTGTGGTTTTGTCAGTTCAGGGCTGTGGTCTGCTGCGTTCTGAGCCTCTGGCTGTAGGATTCCTGGGGGAGCAGAGAGAACACATGGACTGCAGCGCGGAGCCCCCCACAGCCCGTGTGGTTCAGTAGCTTTCGGTCTCCCTGCCTGTGGCCCCCTGTGACAGGAGTGTCTTTAAGATCCCACAGTGCTAGAGCATCGCCTCCCTCATCCGCATAGATACCACTGACTATGGAGGTGGACAGACTTGCTTTCCAGTTCTGGTTTCTCTCTTTCCAGAGCCTGGTCCCCCGCTTCAAGCCACATGGTGATTAACAAGGCAGTGTAAAGTGCTGCTCTGTACCCAGCACCCCACAAACTGTAAGGTGCATGGACCACACCTGGCTGCATAGTAGACGGAACCTCACCTGTGCTTTCCATCCAACCTAGACTTTTCTTCTTCAGAGAATGCATGGGTTTCTCAACATTGCCAGGAATAGTCACTCAGATCATGGTATCTTTAGATCTCAAGTCTTAATTAAAGAAAGGCACCTGGCGGCATAGTATGATGGTTTTATAAACCCAACTGATGGCACAGTTCACTGTTTTAAGAGCAAATTAGTTATTAGGACAGTTTTGAGAGTCCCGTGATGTGGAGATGCTCTCAGTGTCTCACACCCGCCTCTGTCCACAGTATGGATCCTAAAGGGAACATGCTGCTGTTGGGGGCTTGCATGTCAGGCTCACTGTCCGGGATGGGGCTTCAGCAAAGCAGGCCATTGTGACCCCTCACTGCCTAGCACCCAGCTTGTGAGAGAGGTCTTCCTTCCATGAGTGGTGTACCTGTGGGTTCCTAGAGCTGCCTCATGAAATCTCACAGCACCTTTTTCCAACTCCATGCTCAGTGACATGATGCTTTAAAATGGAATGGTGGGAGTATTTATACCGCAGAAATTGGCATGGTGGGCCAGGGATCTAGCTCAGAAGCGTAGTACCTGCCTGGCAAGCATGAGGTTGTGAGTTCGATCCCCAGTACCAAAATAAAAAAAAGAAATTGATTTGCTTCAAATCTGATGGTTTTTCTCCCAGAAACCAGTGTTTCAAATGAGACCTAAAAGGTCCAGGGTTAGAGTTGCACGGTGAGTTGGAGCAGAGTAAGCCCAGGTCAGGTACACCTGTGCTTTGATCCCCAGGTCTTTTGCCTTTGCACCTCATGCTGTCTGCCTCCTGGGTCACTTCCTTAGGTTGGGCTTCTGGAGGGTGCCGATGGTGAGTTTGTGCAGTTTTTGCAGAAAGCTGCAACACTGGGGCTGGGGATTTAGCTCAGCGGCATAAGCGCCTGCCTTGCAAGCAGACAGTTATGAGTTCGATCCCCGGTACCGATAAAAAAGGAAAAAGACCAAAAAAAAAAAAAAAAAGAAAGAAAGAAAGAAAGCTGTAACACTGATGCTGCATGGGAGGCCTCAGTCCACGTCCTGACTGTTCTTTCCTCACCTGTTTTCAGCTGTATGGACGGCGTGCACCCTGGGAGGATCCTGCCAAGTGGGTGATGGACACCTACCCCTGGGCAGCCAGCCCCCAGCAGCATGAGTGGCCCCCACTGCTGCAGCTGCGGCCTGAGGACGTTGGCTTCGATGGCTATGCCCTGCCACGAGAGGGGTCCACCAGCAAACAGGTGCCCCCCAGCGACGCTGAAGGAGACCCGCTGGTGAGTCCACATTTCCTGGGCAGCTCAGTGCCCAGGCTCTCGCTGTGTGTTGGTCATGTTGTGGGCACTCCAGAAAGACTGGGGTCACTAAGCCCAGCTTTGTCTTGGAAGGCTGGGTCTACCCCAAGACTCAGACCATGCGTGCCAATATTTTCTCCTGTAGTTTTAGTTTTTCACCAAAGCCATGACACTCCCTGAAAGTTTTTCTGGTATAAGAGTGTTTGCCCTCTGAGTTGAAATGCCACCATAACCATGTACCTTCCTGTTCTCCCATCTCTCCCACACAAAACTGAACAGGGGAGAGCATCCTTATTAACCCAGGCCTAATGGGAAAGCGCATAGACCCTGAGGGCTATGGACGCCTGGGCCAGTGCTGGCCACGCCTCTAAGCAGTGTTGTTGTTGTCTCCCAGTGTAAGAGCCACACATACTCGTAGAACTCAATCAGCCCTACCCAATCTGAAGCTCTGTGAATATACCTACACCTCCACAGTTAAGTGGCTGTTACATTATCCTACCTGAAATCTAGCTCTGAGCTTCTTTGGCACCAGTGGCAAAAAAAAATCACAACAGAGGTAATATTTACCTTACCTAATGAAGAAAATAGTCATCCGAGATGCAGCAGGATTAAAAAAGACAAGTGGTTTACTGTTCTGTCCCTGCCGGCCAATTGATTTGCTAGATTAATAATATAATAATAGCAGGTGATTTGTGTTGTGTGCCAGGCTACAAAATGGGATGGGTTCCGTAGAGGATTTAAACTGGAGCTGGATTTTTAAAGGATTTCGTGCTGTATCCCTACGCGTGACCTGCTTGTGGGCTCTGCACAGTGGATTTCTGGTGGAAAGGACACCTCAGCGGTGTGTGTAACAGAACCACTGCTCAGAGGCGAGGTCCCAACGTCTTTTTGGTTTGATCACACTCGTGGGGTCTTAATGTAAATAAAAAAATAGGATTTAGGACGTCGGGAAGGAAGAGTGGGCTTCCTGAGACAGTCTTTCCTTAGCTGGGTGTTTGTATCACTGATGAAACTGAGAAGGAGCTCAGGGAAGACCTGGGATTCACCGCAGACTTTCACAGAATTCCTTTTCTAAACTCAGGCCGCCGGGAAGTGAGCGGGGCGGTCTAGCCACCCTCGCTTTCCAGGTTAGGTGTTTAGCCTTTCTCCTGGCTCGCATCCTCTCTGCCCAGGACCACATAACTCTAGCTCCTGATCCTCTCCCTCAGGAGCCTGAATCTTCCATGAGGACAAGACTTGGCTTTCATCTAGCACCCCCCAAAAATGCTAAGGGACCCCCAAAATGTTTGAGGAGTGACTGGCAAATCCTAGCTGCCTTGGCCTGCCTGTTGTGCTCCACAGCACACTCTTCCCTCACTGTGGCTCTGCAGGTGGACACCCACTCGTGTCCTGTGACCCAGCTTCTGCAGAAGCTCCGCATAGCGTCTGAGGGCAGTGGGATTCTATATCTCAGCCTACAGCATCCCTGCCTGCCTGTCTTCTTTGCTATATGAAAGAGAAACATAGTTCATAATCACACGTAGAATAAAAGTTGTTTCTAATTCCCCTCTGCATTCCCAAACCAATGGCCAGTCAGATGCAGACGAGGGAAGACGGCAGAGTTCGGTCTCTCAGTGCTTCCCTTCAAGTTGGGTGAAGCAAATGTTCCAGGCCAGCCTGTGCCTATGGTCCAAGGCACATCATATGTGTCCCTCCCCTCCATCAGTGCAAGACACGCACTGCTGCCCTCCCATCTGCAGATGAGGGACTGACGGCTTGAATGCATCAGTACCTATCTAGAGACTTCACCCAGACACCTGTTCTCAGAGCTGGTGCCCCACCCCCACCCACAGAAGCAGCAGCTCCAGGCAGGCTTGGGGTCAGAGCCAGGCCAGCGGGGTTTCCTGGTCACTGAGGGCTGGGTATGTACTCTAGATGCAGTGTCAGTGTCCATGTTCTGGGAGCCAGGATGCTAAGGAAGGCATCTTTACCCAGTGGAAGGGGTACCCCTCCCAGGGGAAAAAAATAAACTTAATATTTACAAAGGACTTTTCTATTTTGTTTTCAATTTTGTTTTGAATGTTTCTATTTTGTTTTCAATGCATCTGTTTTAACCCAGTCTGCACCATAAAATTATGGGGCAGGTATTCCTGTGATTTACAATGGACCAGTAAAGGAATAGACACAAAATACTAAGTCTCTCGCCCAAGTTCATGCAGCCAGAGAAAGGAGCAGCCAGGCTTTGCGCTGGAGGAAGCTGGTCTGGAGTCCAGGCTGTCGTCTCCTTCTGAGTCTAGGGAGCTGGTATAAGTGACCTCGGCTCATGCCTTTCTCCTCTGCCCCTAGATGAACATGCTGATGCGGCTACAGGAAGCAGCCAACTACTCCAGCCCCCAAAGCTACGACAGTGACTCCAATAGCAACAGCCACCACGACGACATCCTGGACTCGTCCCTAGAGTCCACTCTGTGACAGAGGCCTGGCTGTGGGCCCGCCCACCACTCCCCTCCTCACCCCGTTCCATCGCGTCCTCCGCATCGTCCCTGAGATGACTTCCTGAGCCAGCCCTGGCTGCAGGCAGCCTGCGAGCCACAGAAGCACCAAGTCCCCTGCTCCTCCTCCAGCCACTGGGACTGCTTCCTGCCATGGCCAGAACTGCACTACCATCTGTCGGACTTTAATCCTCGTTTTGCCTTGTTGCTGTGACCTCCCTAAAGACACTGAAGATACCTCTCTCGGGAAAGAATCATCACCATTGAAATAAGATGAAAATCACTGACAGAGAACCAACCCACTGGAAGCTCTGAAACCAAACAGCGTCCTGTCAGGAGCTGCCCAGGGACAGAAGAGCCAGGAACAGAGCTGGTGTCACCCACAGACAGCTGCCCTGCAGCACAGAGCCTCCCGCAGCTGCAGCTGCCCCCAACCTCCCCTCAGCCCGTCCCAGAACTGGTGCTAGCGGGACACTGGCTCTGGTCACCCTCCACGCGCTGCAGAGCGCCGGCCGGGAAACCCGAGACAAAAACACATTCTGCTCTTCTGTTTCTTAAATGGTGCTGTCCTTCCCCGGGAGGTATTTTGCCTGTTCTAGTTCAGTCCCTCACTTCGGGCCCCCAGCCCCTGAGGATCCATGAGTGTGCATGACCGTGTAAGAGTGTGAGCGAGGGTGTGGCTGTCCATGCAGAGCGGCTCGTGTGTGTCTCCTGTATCGTGTCTCCACGAATCAGGTTGGTTTTTATTTTATTCCTCTGCAAACACTGTGTCAATCGAGCAGCGTTCTGCTGCAGAGAACAGATGACCTGGGTGAGATGAGATTGAGTGTCTCCCTTCCTGACTCCTTTGATTTTTGAAGATGTTTCCCCTTCCACTCTTTGGGTGAGAATTGATCCTCTGGTGAACGTGAAGAGCCGCAGGAGTCGAGCTTGGGTTTGGTTGGTCCTGCTCCATTTGGGCTCTGAGTTGTCCCTCTCCAGCGCTCTGCACACTCACCTCCTACTGCTGAGTCCAGGCAGCTTGTGTCCTTTCAGATGTACGGGGACCCGTCCTCCTCTGGTGGGTGAGCCCTGGACCTGGCCTTTCCGTCTCATCTTGAGGCACCCCAGCCCCAGCTTCAGGGTGGGTGGTGAGGACACCTCCTTGCAGAAGACTTGCACTTTCCTCACGACCAGCATCGCGCTGCAGCTCAGCAGGGGAGAGGTGGCCACCCTCCCGGCAGCCCAGCCCTGCCCTGCCCTCCTCCGTCCGGCCGAGCCTCGCCTGACCTCTTCGGTGCTGCCCTTCCCAAAGCGATGCCTTACTGGGTTTGTACTGACTCTGTTCCTTCACATGAGTGTGGTGCCTACCTGATGTTTTTGTTTTGTTTTCCCCCATCCAAACAAACAGGGCTAAAAAGTCATCTATACATTAGGAGAACTCCTCAAATCGCTGTGACTTTTCTCATCCGAGACTCATTTGTGTGGATGCATGACCATGGGAAAAAGAAAAAGGAAAGAAAAAAACGTCCATGTTTTTAGGTTCTTGTCATCTCCAGCTGACAACCTGACAGGACAATGACCTCTGTCACCTGTCCCGTGCGCAGGAGGACCCTGCTGATTCTTTCGGCTGGGTCTTCAGCTCACTGGGATTCTCTTCACTGAGCGTGGCACATCTTGGAGTTGTTTCTGCTTTACAAAGAGAATCTTTATTGAGCCCCAGAGAGGGTGTTTTTGTTAATGATCAGGGTTTTCTTCTTTTTTTTTTTTTCTTTGCATTTCTATTTCTGAAGGTTTGTGTCTTGACATTTTCTTCTTGTCTCATCATCAGAGCTTGACCGAAACTGCTCAGTATCACGTGGAATAACACCCCTGCCCTTTTTTCAAAGGAGCCACCGGGGACTGTATTCCACTTACTGGTGACTAGAACACTTTGCACACTCTCCCTGCTTAACATCTCGGTCAACTCAAACTCTGTTCTGCTCAGCCTTCATGACTCATCTGGGTGTGAGTGTGTCTTGTTCTGTTTTCGTTTTTAATAAATCATATGTGTAGCCTGTGACCAGGGGCCAAACCCTGAGCCTTCTGGTAAGCCCGAAGGGTGGTCCTTCTCAGACAGTGTCCCTCCCAGCGATGACCTTACACCCTCATACTGTGAATTCAGGAGGAAATGAAACTGACCTCCTCCTTGTGGGCAGTTTTCCCATTGACCTTGCGAGTAGACACCTGCCAATGTTTTATTTGAAACTTTGGGGCTTTATTTTCCTTAATGATACCCTTTCTTCTCTCTACCACCCCCTACCCCAGACTTCCCTCTCACTGGGTCCAGACTCAGAACCATGACCTGTGTCCCTGGTGCTGCCTTGTGGACAACAGTGACCCCTAGTGTAGCCCCCGTATGGTTTCAAAACTCCATGTCCTTCCTAGAGTTTCGGGCAGCAGGGTTGTCTAATATGCCTATTTCTTGTGTTGGTCATGTTTTTACTTTAGTGTCATCCTTGACGAAGTGACTTTGTACTCATTTAGGGCTCTGTCTGAAATGCTTCCATTTTGCCTTTTTCTACTGTCGGGCTGATTTTGAAGTGTATAAAATTCTATGCAACATGTAAGCTGAGTTACTAATGGAAGCCAAAAGTTTCTTCCCAAACTGCCAAGAATTTTACAGGCCAGCCATAAATGAGATGGGGATAACTTTTAATTTAAGGGTGGGGATGGGGGTGGGGGGCCAAGGAACAAGACTTGCCTAGACCTTTGTCATAACCTTGGGGACATTTTATTTTCTAGTTTAATGCCTCAAACTTCTAAATTTGATGTATTCAAATTTGGCTGTGGCAAATCTACTTCAAAAGGAAAAATAATCCAACTTTGTGGATATGAAATGCAAGGTTTGCTGTTTTGATGTAGTTGTTTCCGGTGGAGCAGTTTATGAAATATGTTCTATAAGATGTACATTTTTTCATTGTAACATAGAAATTGTAAATAACTGATTAAAGTGCTGCATTTTGATGAATTTTTTCTAGCCATTTTTAAAGAGAAAACTAGGAATTGAGTATTTTGTGTACGGTATGTTTCCATCCTCCTGCCCCTCCCGCCTTCTTCCTCCCTATTTAATTTTCATTTGTCATGAGGTTTTTGGATTTGCCAATGATCTGCTGGAGATCATGCCCCACGTCATAGAGAATAAAGCTCATGATTGTACCAGTCTTAAATTATTCATAATTCAATAAAATTGATGCTTATTTATTCAAATGAGTGGTTCAGCTTGTTTGTGCTAGAGCAAAACCCACCGGCAGTCCACTTCAGGCCGAGGGAAGTCACTTTCATGGAGGGGCAGGAAACGCAAATCTACTTTTCACCAGTGGGTCTGTTTTGTTTTGTTTTCATTCAAGATTCTTTTTAATTTTACTTATTTATGGGGTATAGTGTGGTAATTTATTATACATTGCTGTGTGTAATGTATAATTGCCAAACCTGGATAACTTGCATTTCCATGTCTTTAAACACATAACCTCTCTTTGTAGGTTAAGGACCTTCAGACTCCTGTCTAGATCTGTATAAAATACTGAACTGTAAACTGCAGTCATTGTGCTTAATTTCATACCACAAGTGTTATTGGTTATGGTTTTGACCACTGGGGTCGTATCCCATGGTGATGAAGAATTAAATCACAGGTGGAGGAGACAGGGCACAAGCAGATTTATTGAAAAGCTATAAAGGTAAGAAAGTAAAATATATAAAGGCAAGGAAACAAAGCTCCCACCAGCCGGGAGGCGGGTCTGCGTAGCCTACCCATGAGGCCTCCTTGCCTACAGGTTTTTACTGGGTTTGGAAGGGGGCTCAGCCTACGGGTAAGCAATAGAATCTCTATCCTACAGGAGCTTGCATACTTTCAGTGTCCATGTGTTCTTGAGCCAGTGGCTGAACTGATCCTGCTGGGGAGGAAACCTCACAGATACTTTGTAAGACCCCTGTGTGGTTGTGACTCATCAGGCCCCCTCCTGGGGCTGTTGTCCTCTCTGCCTGATAGAATCCTAACTCCTGTCTCCCTAGTCCCTGGTGCACTTATGCTTCCTAACTGTATCTTGGTACCCACTCTCTGGCCTCCTGCTGTCCATCCTCCCCAGCATGCTTCCAGCCTCCTGTAATGGTAATCACTGTTCTGCCCTCTTCCACCTCGATACCGACTTCTTAGGTTTCACCTCTGATTGAGAATGTTTAGTCTTTGCCTCTCTGCATCCCACTCAGGCTACTCCCCACTGGTACCCAAAGGACAGGGTTTCATCTTTCCTTATGTCTGGATCACATCCTGTTCCATATCCTGTCCATCTGTCAGTGGGCATCTTGGTTGACTCCATGGCGTGGGTGTCATGAATAGTGCTGCCGTAAACATAGAGATGCAGGGGTCTCTGACACAGTGATTTCATTTGCTTCGGGTACATCATACCCAGTGGGGGAATTATAAATTGTATTGCAGCTCTGTTTTTAAAGTTTTAAGGAACTTCCAGACTGTTTCCAAAACACTGACACTAACTTACCCTTATGTCACCCTTTCTCCACATCCCTGCGAGCATTTGCTGCTTTTTGTCCTTTTGGTGACAGCCATTCTGCAACAGTGAGGTGACATCTCAGATTCTAAGTTGCTAACGAGCTCCTGGGGAAGCCAGTGCTGGACTCCCAGGGCCTCACCTGGAGTAGCCAGCAATGTCAGTGTCCAGCTGGCCCTTGGGTTGGCCCCTTAACATTCAAGATTCTGTAACATATCAAGTACCTATGGATTGTAGGATGCCTTCCCACACTCCAATGTGATCTGCAAAATGACTGAGGGAGGTGTTCTCCCTCCCTCCCATTTTACAAGTAACAGAAACACCAGAAAACAGCCTGCCTATCGCTAAGAGGGGAGAGCTAGCATTTCAGTCCCTGTCTTCCAGCTCCAGCTCCTGCCTCACCAGGTTCCCTCTCTGTCTTAGAGGCTTCATTCCCCATGGCATCTACACCCGGAGCAGACACAGGCAGTGGAGATGTCACATCTTAGCATTCTCTTTAAGAGCAACAGCAGAAACTGGAAAGGCTTAGTACTGAGAATTTTTACTTAGTGATCACAGCATCTCCCAGCAGCAGATAGTATTTGCTCCATCTTATAAGTGAAAAAATGTTAAATAATACTTGAATCATGGTAAATACCATATACTAGAAATGGAATTCTGTTCTTTGATTCTCAAGTGCACACCTGTTCTGCTACACTGTGCTGTAACCCAGTGGTCTTGACATTGAGTGCAGGGTTCTGGGTCCCTTCTGCACTTGTTACTTGCTGCTGAGTTAACAAATGTCCCCAAAGCAACAAACATTCTCTCACACTTTCTGGGGATCAAGGCCCCAGCCATGTTTTGCTGGGTGCCCTGTCTGTCTTTGGGCTTTTTACAATGTAGTAATCAACATGTCTTAAATATTTACAAGAAATATTTACAAGCAATAACCAGAGAAAGCATTATATTTCAGATTAGAAGATAAAGATGCCTCCGCTTACCCTAACATCACAGTATTTCTCAATGAAGAGAAGCAAGAATAATTGTGGAAATTGAAAAGGAGGAAGAAGTTAGACTATGTTTACAGATAACATTACAGTATACACTCAATCCAACAGACTTTACAAATAAATTATTAGAAATAAGTTAATTGGTAAGTTTAATAAGTCTTCAAGATGAGTACACCAAGTTGAACATTTGTATGCAGCAAAACAGTAATCAATCTGTAGAATACCAATTTAAGAGCTGAAATGTCAAATACTTAGGGATAAATGCAATATATGATGTACGAGATCTCCACCCAGACATTTGTAAAATACGCTGCAAAAAATTACCAAAACCCCAAGTGCCTGGAGGAAAATAATGTGTATCAATTTAAAAACTTAAAAGATGTCGGTTCCTCCCACATAGATTGTAGAATTGGATACAGTCAAAAACCCAGCATCGTTTGTGGATTTGACAAAGTGATTCTAAAATTTAGCAGGAAAGTAAAAAAAGGTGAAGCCCAGAGATCAAGATAAGACTGCCCACCATATAGCAAGACTTACCATGGTTATTAATTTGGTGCAAAATTGGACAGATAGCTCAAGAGAACCGAATAGATGTCTCTCAGAAGTTCAACACACACATCACTTTGCTAAACGGAGTTGTGGATAACGTCTCAGAGCAAAGGACTTGTGTTATGGAGGAGACGCGACACGGGACACATTGACATCATGAACTCGTGGTTCCTACTATGAGGCTGATGGTCAATACTCTCCTCAAAGGCTCCACCAAGGTCCCAGCTTGGAAAAGACCTTCCAGAGTCTTTAGGACACAGGATAGGTTTGTAGCCATCAGCCTCATTCATTACTGGCCTGGTGATAACTGCACACGGGTGTTTCACCTGCCACAGCCCAGGATAACAAAACTTTCTGGAATGAAGGTCTGTGTCCCCCTTCGGGCCACACAATGAAGTGCAACTGAAGTGAGTGCCCGCTGAATGCAGGTTAAGAGAGGAAAAGAGTATCAAGGCTGGCCTCAGACTCAGGTAGCGATGCAGGCAGTAGCTCATTGTACTACTACTCCCTCTTTGAATCTTTTTTTAAAAAGAGATTATAACCCTAAAGACTGAGCTCCAGGTGGACTCGAGCAGGAAATGAGGGCTGAGAGGTGGAAGGACGGGCAGACACTGTTGGCTCCTCTGTCTGATTTCACGTGGACACCCCCTGGCCCACTGGCAGCTGCAGGTACTGTGTCTCTATTTCCCTACCTGGGACTTTTCTCAGTTCCATCAACCCAAGTGCTGTGAAACTCACAGGGTCTGAAAATTGAGTCTCCTGGGGGACAACCAGAACCCAACTTCCCTATCCTTCTGAGGGGCAACTGTGAGGCACATCTCACGAAGTCCTTCTGAGGATCTCTGATAACCATGAGCCCAGCTACCCAGCACTGAAATTAAGGGAACTCCTCGGCACATTTTGCCTCCTTCTCTATCGGTCAACTCCAAGGCAGAAACAACATGGCGGAAGGTCATGGTGGAGCAAAAATTCTCAGTTCATGCCAACCAGGAAGCAAAGAAGAATAACAGGTCTAGGAAAGGGGTAAAGGACCAGCCCATGCCTATGTGTCAAGCCCATGCCTCCATGACCCACCCACCCAGACACACCTAGGCATGTGTTCTGCCGATCCCTGGGCAGACCCCAATGCCAATCAAATGGACACTCCACTCTGACCACCATAGGATTCTACCCAGAGCCTCAGAAGGAGCCCAGCTCGGCTGGCACCTTGGCTGAGACCTCTGGCCTTATTGGTCACTGAATTTGTAGTGCTTGGTTGCCTTCCCCCAGGAAGCTGCTACAGGTATACTCTCAGCAGGAAGACATCCATGCTCTGAGAAATATGTACACAAATGTTCACAGCAGCCTGGTGACAGGACTGTGATGTGTCACTGTCATACACCCGTGAAAATGTTTGTGGATGGACACAGAGTTCATGCTGAGAAAAGCGGCCACACACCAAGGTGCCTGGTGTACAGCCTTTTATAGGGTGCACAGTAGTGCTTAGGGACAGGTGTCCACACTGGATGGAGAGCAGGAGAGAAATGCAATAATGGACAGGGCAGCAGGATGGAGGGCTGAAAAGGGCTCTGGACTGTTGTCAAGGGTCTCCTATTTCATGACTTGATGATATGGTCTGAAGGTTTTGTATTCAGCCAAATTCACATGTTGAAACATGGTCCCTAATGCAGTATTGGGAGGTAAGACCCCAAAAGGTAATTAGGCCATGAGCGCTCGCTCCACCCCTGACCATGACATCAGTGCCCTTTTCAGAGGGGCTCCAGAGAGTCCACTGGTCCCTCCAGAGGAGCGAAGGGGCTAGCAGACCCAGATCTGCCTGTGTGCCTTGCCCCTGGACTTCCTAGCCTCCAGAACTGCAATGGATTCTATTGTTTATCAGCTTCCTGACACCCATAATCCCAGCCCCTGGGAAGCTGAGGAGGGGGGACTGTGAATTAGAGACCGGAATGGGGATCTAACTCAGCACTCCCTGGCTCACGTCTCCAGTCATGCTGAATAAACAGCCACTCAGCTTATGGTATTATATTATTGCGTCGGGATGGACTAAACCAGGTGGCAAGCCCACAAGCATTTGCTTTTCATGGGTCACTGAGCTGTACGTCTTTGTTATGCTTCAAATTAAGAGACTTTTAAACAGTTCGCCCCAGACCAAGCTGACTGGGTGAAA